AAAAAAAAAAAAAAAAAATTGTTACCTTAAAAAATTATGAATAAAATAAGAAACAACTAAAGCTGGTAATTCAAAATTGCATTTTCCCCCTAATGTCCCCCTTGACATGCTAGATTTTTTATTTATATTTTATTTTTTTAAATTTTCTTCCTTTAAAATTTTGTGTTACACAATTTAGCAATGAAGAAGCACAGCAGGCTGTGTTCTATCACTACAAGCATGCCTTTTCTGGTTTTGCTGCAATGCTGAATGCAAGTCAGGCAAAAATGTTAGCAAGTAAGTAGTAAACCAAATTAACACTTATCTCTTGCCTTTATTTTGAGTAGTTAGTTATCGATAAATGAATGCATGAATCAACGCAGAGAGTGAAGAGGTTGTATCCGTGTTTGAGAGCAAAGTATTGCAAGTGCAAACCACAAGAAGCTGGGACTTTATGGGTCTGGATCTTGACAGCAGCAATCCATTGCAGCTACGTTATGGGGATGACGTTATTGTCGGGGTGATCGACACAGGCGTATGGCCCGAATCAGATAGTTTTAAAGAGGAACCCGGGATGGGACCCATACCAAAGTCTTGGAGAGGAGAATGTGTGGGCGGCGAACAATTCGAGCCGAAGAGGGCGTGCAACAGGAAGCTGATCGGTGCGCGGTACTACCTGGCCGGGTTCGAGAGCGAATTCGGGAAGATCAACCCGGATGAGAATTTCACAGAGTACAGATCGGCTCGGGATTTCGAAGGGCACGGGACCCACACGGCCTCGACGGCGGTGGGGTCGATATCGAACGGGGCGAGCCTGTCAGGATTTGGTCGGGGGAGGGCCAGAGGCGGGGCACCCAGGGCCAGGCTGGCGGTGTATAAGGCCTGTTGGACTATGGAAGGAAAAGTTGGAGTAATAAGGACTATGGAAGGAAAATGCAGTGAGGCTGACTTGCTTGCGGCTTTCGACGACGCGTTGCGCGATGGGGTCCACGTCATATCGGCCTCGTTCGGGGATTCGCCCCCTCTCTCACCCTTCTCCAACTCGGCTAGTGATATTGGCTCGTTTCACGCGATGCAGAATGGGGTGAGCGTGGTGTTTTCGGCAGGTAATTCTGGGCCGGACCCATCTCTGGTGGAGAATGTCAACCCTTGGAGCATCTCTGTGGCAGCCTCCACAATCGATCGAACTTTTCCCACAAAGATTTTGATTCATACACATACACATACAGATACAAATACAACAGATGCAGATATAGGGACCTCCTCCTCTTCCTCCTCCTATGTGGTGGTAGATACACTACACTACACTACACTTTTTCATTGCCAATATAATAAATTCCCAATCAACACACACATATATATGTTTGTATGCGCAGGGTGAAGGTATGATAAACACCACCATAACCGGACTGCTCGCGCATGCTAAAGATTATTTCGACGATGGGTATGTATGTAATTAGTTCAGGTAATATATTTAACTAATTAAGTACCAGCACCCACATCTAGCTATCTTCTTTAATTAATCAGTTAACTCTTTATGTGTGTATTTATGTATGTTTGTTCCACTCCAGGACTTGTTCTCCTTATACGAGGAACGGGAATGATGCCTCGGGCAAGATAATGTTGTGTTTCTCCATCTCCACCGACTCACCCGTCCCAAGTCTCATCATGGAGTTGGGAGCCTTTATAGCCAATGCATCAGCAGTTATCATTGTCCAGGCATTAACAAAGCCTGTAGCATCTGAGGGTATTTTACTCCCCACCATACATATAGACAACATCCAAGGAACAAGATTGCATCAGTACTCCAAGTGCGTGTAATTAAAAATTTCAAATATATATATATATATATACATGCTTCCAAGAGAAGAGAGTAATAAATAGTATTTGTTCTAACTAAATCAACTGTCCAATATGAAGCATGACCAAGCTCACAATCTTACCAAGTGAAACAGCTTTCAGACGGTCACCAGCACCAATCGTATCAGATTATTCTTCTAGAGGTCCAAGCTCGATTTCCCCTAGTATTCTTAAGGTACGTACAGTACACTCTTTTGACTCCAATGTTATAATATTATACTTGTTGGATTATCGTTCCCCTAACGCATCATTCTTGCAGCCCGATATTAGTGCACCAGGAACAAACATATTGGCCTCATCGTGTCCCAAGCCATCAAAGCATATTGTAGGTCCTGACGATAGATCCGTTTGGAAATTCGACTCGGGGACTTCAATGGCTTGTCCTCACGTGTCCGGCATTGTTGCCCTCCTCAAATCAGCACATCAAAACTGGTCCCCTGCTGCAATTAGATCCGCCATTATGACTACTGGTGTGGTGTGGTGTGATGATCAACAATTAAATTCTTATGAAATTATATGCTATTTTCTAATTCTGTTTTTTTATGTTTGCAGCTCATAACTTAGACGTAAATGGCGATGGCATATTGGCACAACCAACCACAAAAACTGCCAATGCATTTGACATCGGTGCTGGGCACGTTAATCCGCTCAAGGCAATCGACCCTGGACTGGTCTATGATATGAAGGCTCGGGATTACGTGTTTTTCTTGTGCAACAACGGTTATTCTAACAAACAAATAAAAGCCATTGCAAAGTGTCAGCCACAAGACACATGCCCGAAATGCTCTGATCCTAATCGCGTCTCGGATATGAACCTCAACTACCCATCAATCACTGTGCCAGACCTCAAAAACAGCACAACCGTCAAAAGAACCGTTCGCAACGTTGGACAGAAAAACCCGACCACATACAACGTTAGCATCGTCAAACCCAATGGGGTTCAGGTTGTGGTTCGCCCCACCACCATGAGATTTTCGTCTGTGAATCAAGAAAAAACTTATTATGTCACACTGACGCCACTGAAAGAATCTGAAGGCAGATATGATTTCGGCTCCATTACTTGGTCCGACGGGTCTCATCGGGTCAGGAGCCCACTTGTTGTTCAAATTAACAATTTGCCCGCTCAATCTAATTGAGTTCGAACAAGGTCTCTCTCTGTACCACGAGCGTGTGTATCTTGCCTTATTTTGCTTTGGTCTTGTTTTGCTTTGTGTCTCAATATATGTGATAATTAATGAATTTTAAGTCATTATTAATAATAAATTTGGCATTTCTCAAAAATCATATCTATATCTTTATCTATAAAAAAAAATATAACCATTTACTAGAAAACGTTATTATAAAAATTTAGTAATAATTTATTAATATATAATAAGAATTAACATAATTCACTTTTAAAAATATTTTCCCGCCAATTTCATTATTATTGTCTAAAAATAGTAAATTAATCAAAAATCAATGTAATTAATGTACATAATCTTTTTAGTCAAATATTTATGGCTTTTACCTTTATTAGTTGAATTTAAATTTAGGATGATTTAGTTTTATGGAAACAAATATGAGGTATTATAGAAACTTTCGAAAAGTTTAAATATACAGACTTTTTTTTTGCAAAGATAGAAGATTGCATAACTAGAAAAAGAGCGAACAAAGTTCGAATAATTACAACTACAATGGGAGATACACTCAACGAGTGATCTAGAGAAAAAACGAAAGCAAACACGAGAAAAAACGGGGATACAACCACTGGGACTTTCCCTCGAACAACCTACTACAAGCCACTAACACAAGACACCCAAGAAAAGAAAAGAAAAACAACGACCAACCAAACAACCTATCATCGAGGAAGCCTAACTCTTAATGGACACAAATTCTTGCCATTCTCTCCACGCCCCTCTAATCACTACCTCTTTCGGCATCCAAACCTTCTCAAAAAGCCACAGGTTGCGGGATCGCCATAGTAACCACAAAATATACGTCGATAATTGCATGCGGTCCTCGGCTATTTCTGATTTTTCTAAGTCACAGAGTTGCCACCACCACATCTTGAAAGATGGTGCGCACATTACTTTCTCTTCCCACTCCAATGGTGACAACTTCCAGACTCTTTGTGCTCTGCTGCAGCTAAGTAGAAGATGCTCAATCGACTCTGGCTGCTCCCCACACATCTTGCAGATTGAATCTATCTGCACCCCTCTCTTTGCAACATTTAAACTCACAGGTAATGACCCAGTAAAGCATTTCCATAAAAAATGTTTGAGTTTACCTTTAACCTTCATTTTCCAAGTTCTGTTTCTTGCATTCTTGTCATTCAAAGCTGATCTACTCCCCTCAGGAACATCCAAGAAGAGAGTTTTCTGGGATAGCAGATGATTGTAAGAACTTGCAACAGAAAATTTCCCATTTCCTTCAAAAGACCACCTCCATCTGTCATGTTCCTCTGATGCTAATGATTTAATATCCAAAATGGTTGCTGTATCAACATCACTAAACACTTGGTTAATCAGCTCTTCATTCCACCCACTACCATCCTCCTTTATCAGATCTCTAACCCAAATAGGAGAACCACTAGCAGAGTTCAGAAGAGTTGGGCATTTATGGTTTAGTTTTGGCACCGAGCTGCTATCAGATATCTTAGTGAGTCTGCCATCCCTTATCTCTCTTTTCAGACCTTGTGAATTAATCGTTATTCTTTATATCTATGTTATATTTCCTGTATTGAGTAAAACATAATAAATTAATACTTATGTTATTTTTCATACATCATTTTGTTGGCATAGTAGAGTTGCAAGATTATCTTTTTTTCTTCGTAGACAAGATAACCAAATACAAAAATATAAATATATGTGCCGCTAAAAAAAATTTTGCACAAAATGTAGAAATGACTTTTAGAAAATTGTTGTAGCAAATTTAATTTATATGTTTTTATCGAGAACCGAACTGAAAATTCGTTTCCCGAGTCGATCTCAAGGAATATTCAGCCGGATTAAATTGTATACTTATTCAATTAACAAAAATAAATAAAATATTTCATAACAATTTAATTTTGTTTTTCAATATTAATTACTATTATCAATTTAATTAAATGCTAGAAAATAATAAATAAAGTTATAATTAAGGTAATAATGTTAAAGAGTTAAAAATTATAAAAGAGTTAAGGAATCGGAAAATAATTATTTCAGTTCTAATGATAATTCCAAATCATTGATTGTTCGGTTAAATGATTCGATAAACACACTAATTTAGAGGTTCATATTCAATAACTTTTCATAACAAGAATATAAACATGAATTAATGTATTTTCGTATCAAATAACACATAAGCAATACAGTAAAGAACAAGCTTACTCGTTTCGAGCTGAGATCAATCAACTTCGCCCCTCTCGGTTTAAAAATCAATTAAGTAGATTTAGAAGGTGTTTAATCAACTAAACCATAAAAATAAGCACAACTCGAAACGATTGAACAATCAACAACACGTCATCATCATCGAACCAAAACAATCATTTCCCTATCCCATTAGGATAGGTTAGTTCATAGTAATTTTATTGAAATAATCAACAATAATAACCCAAGATATCGTCGTGCTTATAAAAAGTTACGATAACTTACGATTACTATTGAAAACTTGACGTCAATATATCACTAGAACTTCAACTAACAAAAGAAAAATCACTTACAAGATCATGCATGAGAAGCCATTCTTGTAAATGATGAAGAAGAAGAGAAGAGAGGAAAAAGAAACTATTTACAAGTCTTGAAATTATAACAATGTTCTTTATTTACAAGTTTGATTACATCTATTTATAGTTCAGAATTTGGAGTATTTTATAGCTATAAATTAGCTATAGGTATCATTAATCATCATAACATAACATACCATCAACATGCCATTATCTTCATCATAACAGCTGCAGAAATCGACCCTTAGCGCCGCTAAGGGGTACTAGCCGCGCTAAGGTGTCGGCAGCTACACGTCTCTACTATTTTCGCTCGTTCGGGCTCGTTTTAACTCGGAATTTAGTTCTGTTTTTTCCTACGCGTCGCTAACGAACCCCTCTATAAAATGGTGCAAGCTTTTCCACAAATTTCCCGAAAACCTGTTCTTCCGATTCTTCCAACCTACACACCAAAATCTAAAACACGAACGAAAAATACCGGAAAATAAACATAATTCACCAAAATACTTAAAATAATGCAAAACACACAAATAACGATAAAACGACTCAAAAGCCAACTAAATGACTCAAAATGGAGATAAAAGAATAATAAAATAACAACTAAAAATGAAACAAAAATAGGACAAACAAAAATACATAATTAATTTATGTTATAAAGTTGACAAAATTAATAAATCCAATTTTGGTATAAAGTTGATGATTTTATTTTAAGTATCTGATAGTCATTTTTATTTTTTCACAGAAAATGTGTTGTTAATAATAAATGTCTGATTTTGTCGTATAAAGTGGGTGTACGAAATGTTCGAATTTAAATAGTATGAATTTTATATGGAATGGATAGAAGTATATTTGAAATTATTTAAAACAAAATAAGAGCATTTACAATGCATAAATATTGTTATCACATAAATTTTGACAAATGTCTATTGTTTGTATGGATTGTGAACCATATAAGATATTTGTTAAGTTCACAACTTTATATCTAAAAAATTATCTGCGTGCACAATGTGATCAAACGTAATATTATCAATTGGCAAAAATAAAAACAAAATTAAATAAAAAACAAAAAATTATTTCCTAGCATACTAATTTCTTATCAAACTAAGAGCATAGAAAACTTGTTTGGATTCTGTTTATGTGTTTTTCTAGAAGCCGCCAAGTACCAATCTTCCAAGAATACTAGCCCTTATTAATAATTAGATATTTTTAAAAAATATTCCATAATAATTTATTAAACACTAAATCCGGCTATTCTGAATCAATTATTTTTAAAAACAGTTTTATTATAGAACCAAATGTTATGGAATATCTTTTTAAAGACAATATAATTATGATATCAAGATATTTAACCACGATTCAATCTTTTTAATTCAATCTATATCTCTTTTTAGACTTATCAACTCATTTTAATATAATATAAATTTACCTTAAAAATGAGAGTTGGACTTTACAATAATCACGGTATCAATATTAACAATATAAATGTAAAATTTAATTATTTGGACTGTACACTTTATTATATACATATAAATAAGTCGCCTATTTGAACTTTAAATATTTTATTTTTTCATATAAGATTATGCAATATATGCAACTTAACTAAAAGTAAAAAATATTCTAAAGATTTCATTTCAATCATGGTAACATGTATTTTAAAATTGCCAAAATTTTCGATTCACTAATCCACTACTCATGTAAACATATTTTTGTAATAATATACGATTTTATTTTTATCATTTTCAATTATTTTCTTATCACTTTTTTTTATGAAACATATTTTTCATTTAAAAACTGTGATTTACATGTCCTCCAATTCATATAGTTATTTTTTATCTACAAATGATAAAATATCGTTGTTGTTTTTTTTAAACGTAATTATTTTTATAAATATGTTTTACAAAAGATACAACCAAAATTCCAAATCTGTGTTAAAACATAACAAAACAAAATCGTACTCAATTTTGGAATGAATTTGACATAAAAAATGAGAATGATCGACAAATGAAAAAACAGATATACTCAAAATCCACACTTTAACTTTAAGGTAACAATTTTCTTTATACCCGATATAAAATTAAACTTCACCAGATAATCATATCTTTAGTATCTATCACAATATTACATATTTTCACTATAGTTTTATTTCATGGTGGTAACATTCTGAAAATCAACAAAAAAATGAAAGAATAAGGTGTCTATGCAATTCACAATTACCAAGTGGAGAGCAATCTTGGTAAATATTGATTTACGGTTACCAAGTGAAAATTAAATTGGCATGGAAAAACAAAGAGCTTTTTAATAATGTATGATTTTTTCATGATGATCATTTTACGATTACCTAACAAATGTTCTATGCATTATAACTTACTGATTAGTAGCCTTCAGTTATAAATTTTACCAAAATAAATACAGCCCGTGCATCGCACAGAGTACATACTAGTTAATTTATATTATAAT